TGTCTAAAGCTACAAAGAAAAGCTTAAAAAAGAAAGAGCCTTGTGTGCGACCATGGAGGCATGCAGCTCTTGGAAGTCATGAGGCAGAGCAACTTTAGTTATTTTCCTTTCTCATGTTTTTGATTGTGTGACTTGTTAACCTATAATGTTAAGAACCTTTCTACTTATTTATTTTTCCTTTTCATGTTTTAACTGTGACTTGTCAATTACAATGTTAAGATTAAGATCAAAACATGTCTTTTGTTTCTTACCCCAAACACAAAACTACACTCAGATATGTGATATGTATATGGGTCATTAACGCATAGATGATGTAAAAAACACAATGGCTAAAATAAAATTGTCCATAAATTTTTGAGTGTGTGTTATAAATAAAGAGGAGTTTGAGTTTACCTTAGGTATCTGACAAGAAAACTTCACTCATCAACCTCTGCTTTGATTTCTCTTTGGAGATCTTCTTTGTATTTTTCAAATGTGCCTTCGAAGAAAGATACTGTTCCATCTTCTACAACCCAAATTTGACTCTTCTCTATCGCACAGACACGCGAGATGAGTCTCGAGTCGTGACTCACCAACACAACTCCTCCTGTGAACTCATTTAGGGCATTCGCCAACGCATCTATACTCTGCTTGTCTAAGTGATTTGTTTCGACATTGAGATTGAGCTGAACACAACTCTAGCCTTTTGTCCTCCAGACAATTTCGCAATTGGAGTTAAGTGGTTGTGACTTGGTAGCCCAAACTTGCCAAGCTTCGCACGCACCCTTTCTTGCTTGCTAAATCCCTCTTGCTCTGGATGAAGACGAAGAAGATACTGCACCGGTGTTTCCCCCATTGTTAACAGGTCAACAAAGTGCTGAGAATACCTGCCAATCCTCAGCTTCTGACTTCTTCTCACTTCACCCTCTGTTGGAACTAAATCCCCCGCAAGAAGATTCAAAAGAGTGGATTTTCCAGCTCCGTTAGGCCCGACTATCGCGACCCGTGTACCCATATCGATACCTACATCAACATCTGAGAGCCTGAAATCTGGCCTATTGGGGTAGCAGAAGCTCACCTCAATCAACTGCAACAGGGGAGGAGTGAGCTCGGTTGGTTCTGGAAAATGAAACTCCACGGTATAATCACTGCACTTTCTAGGAGCTTCTCCTGATGGTCCCTCCTCATCCATCGCTTTACCCTTTGCCTTAAACTTGGATGCTTCTTTCGCTGCTGCAAAATTGGCCCTCTCCTTTACCTTCTCCTGTTGAGCCATGTTTCCAGACTTCTTAGCTGCTTTAACAACTGCATTCAGAGCACTCTTTTCGTCACCGACAACTTCTTGCTCAACAAGAAGAAGATCAATATTCTTCGGAACTGGGATCATCCTCCATGCTAAAAGCTTCAACAGCGTAGACTTCCCCTTCCCATTCGGTCCAACCAATCCATACCTTTTTCCATGTGATATCTTGAGAGATACATTCGCATAAACAGAGAAAGAAACGATCGATATATCTTTAACATTCGCATCCGCCTCAGTGTCCTCGGTCTTGCTTCCGATAACAACAGTGAAAGCATCACGGTCGTCCTTCAAAGCCTCCTTCTTTGCAAGCTCTGTAGCCTCTAGAGCCAATCTTTCTTTCAACTCTAGCTTCTTTTGTTCCTTATGGGTCACAGAGATATCAAGAAGCCTTTTTTGTTCGCTCTTCTGCTTTCTCCTTGCTTCCAACTGTCTAAGTTCTTCATCAGAAGATCAAAACCATCAGTATATGAAGAAGAAGCTTTTTTTAGAGGAGCTTTGGTAGCTCTTGATGATGATCCGGGCTTGCAAGCATCGCTGAAGCTGATAATTTCTCCTTCCTTTTGGGCTCTTTAAGAGAATCTTTTCCACTTGCATTGTTGTTCTTACCCATTTAAGCTCCGTTATTATCTGACAAGAGAAATCAACAAAAAAAGAGCTTCAATTACAAAATTCATGGACTAGTAATCACTAATCATAACCAAACAGACATAAACCATATGATTCTAATTCGAAATTTTCCAAACGGTGTGAACAGAGTCCCTAAAATTAGGGTTTTTTTTCCACTAGAGCCAGATCAACTCGGTTCGATTTTCTGGATTTCGTTAGCCTAAATCATCACTGTAAAATTTTGGAATCCAAATCTTAAAAATTTGTAAAGAAGAAGCTTTACTTTTAGATTCGTGACCCGAAAGCAGAATCGGATTAGGGTTGATAAATCGGGAGAAATTGATCGAGAATTATTTTTTTTTATGATTTTAACATTATTTATTTGTCTTAATGGGCCTAATAATTTGTTTTTTTATTAATCATATAAAATTGAAACTCGCGCTAAAAAAAACCTTCTCTGTTTCATCATCGTTCTTGGAGATTTGTGGTCTTCTTGCTGTTTCGCCATGGAAGAGAACTGCGAGAGCTTGCCAATTCCTGGGAAAAGAAATATACTGATTACAAGTGTTATCTCGATCCCAGTTGTCCCCTAAAGCTGCTTTCTCGGCCTCACTTCCAAGAGCTGCATGCATCCATGGCCGCACACAAAGCTCTTTCTTCTTTTAGCTTTTCTTTTGCAGCTTTAGACACAACACTACGACCTCCACGATTCGAAGCAACACAAAGCTCTTTCTTGTTTAAGCTTTCCTTTGCAGCTTAAGACACAACAATGCGACCTCCACGATCCCAATCAACACATACAGTTTCTCCACCTGACTTCTTACGATTCCAAGAGCTGCATGCCTCCTCCAATCGTTCCCTCCTAATTTCCTCCAAATTATTTGCTAGTGCTAGTTTTTCGGAATGCCTTCGATTACGAGCTGCATGTTCCCCTCCATCCAAATCACCCCCTAAAGTTTCAGCGCTGCATGCCTCCCTCCGTAACCTCCTAATCCGCTCCACCAGTTGTCCTGGTCCTTCCGCATCTCTACGAATGCGAGCTGCAATCTTCTGTCTATGTCTACGAGACGCTTTTGCCTCCTTAAGATCTCTATCAGACTTTTCATTGTACCTTTGCACTTTTTCACCTTTCTGTGATCAATATCATTTCACAAG